GATTGATGAGACAGGCATGGGTGTTTGCAGGTTCTGTGGCCGCTATTATTTCTGTGTATATTTGATGTTTCACATTGTTCTTTTTGTCAGTATTCAAGGGTTGCAATATGCTTGTTTAGACGAATTTCAACATGTTTTTCTGTTATTTCGATGTAAATCTTTCGACGATCTTCATAATTAGTTTTAGAAGCAGAAGAGCTTCTGAGGGTGTACTCTGTTCCGTACCCGTAGTTGCCTAAGGTGGTATCTTTACTGAAAAGACTGCTTTCACTCTGAGCTTATTTAGAGATTGACGAATCAGTGGCAGTTGTTCGACCATAGGATGACTCAGTGGTTTGACGGAAGCGTCGGCAGTTATAACAAGGACTACTATCTGTTCTGTCGTTTGTGAATAAAACTGTTATAAATATGTTTGTGTAAGATACAAAATACGATGTGGGCTATTTGATGCAGGAATTTAGTTCAAAATTCAATGATTCCTTTACAGCATGACACCGCATATAAAGTTTGTTATATGCGAGTTCTTCAACATTTCCAATAATGCACGATTATGTTCGCTGATATGATTACAGTTCATAAATATGTTTTACATACTCTTTAGAGGAGACAGAACTACACGAATCTGATTATATATCATAAACGATTACCCACCCACATCATTCCATGCAGTGTGTGTCGAAAATCTTTTAAACAGATTTTTTTGAAAGGCTACTTTGCTTTCGTGCAGTATTTATATAGACTTTCAGATAAATGCAATTATTCTATTCGTTGCAATCACTATATTACTACAATATATAGTATAATATTTCTATATTGCTTTGTATTTTGATTTTTGGTTGTTTCTTGGGTTCTGTATACTTACACATTTACATCCTTTTTATAGTTTTTCTGAGTCCGGAGTATCAGAGAATAATGATTTTCGTTTTAGAAATTGAAAGCTGCTTTTTCCGGGTTCCAATGAATTTTTATGCTCAAAATTTGCGCCATTCCTCTCATGCTTCCGAATATAATTATTGGTGAGGTCGGTTTCGATTGCTGAAATTTGCATAGACTTTTGATTTAATAAGTAGTTTGGCTTAAATAAAGATTTTTTATTACATCAAATCGTATTGCTCACTTTGTGTTGCTCTATTATTTATGTGTATAATGTTTCAGAATCAGTATCTTTTAACAATGTTTCAGTATGTTTTGCGACGAGTGTAAATGAACCGGGTTTTGCGCTATTTTATCAGTGTTACCACCAGCGCACGAAACGAATTACTCTATCAGTGTTTCAGAATTATAACCTGTCGGCGTTCCTTCCGCAATGCTGAAAAGATGCACTAGATTTTGTCTTTGCAGAAGATTAAAATCCGATTTTATGGGTTTACTTGCATACTGCTGATTTTTAATACCGCCGCTAGGATATATAATCCATTTTAGTTTTCGATACCGGATTGAAGCGGTGTAAGCGCAGTCCCCTTGTTTGTAGTGGCCTAGGGGACCATTTAAGCAGGCC